TCTCATTAACGATAGCCAAATGGGGGCCGCTTTAAGGCCGAAAATGCATTGAAATCGCACATTTTCACCATTCCGGACCCGTATCTCAGTTATGCATCGATGGATTTTGTTCAAATTTGGTACATACATTAAACATAATAGGACCTTGATGCACGTCTTTTTTTTTTTCGGATCAAGTTCGAAATGGCCGACTGGCGGCCATTTTGTTAAAGAATTCAGTTCTGGATTCGTATCCAAGACATGTCTGGATTGATCAAGTTCAAACTTCACACACACATGGTACATCATGTCACAAATAGATATGTGCATTTGTTTCATGATCTGCTTAACAATAGCGGAATGATGGCCATTTTAAGGCCGAAAATGCATCAAAATCACGTATTTTCACAATTCCAGAACCGGATCTCAGTCATGCATGGATGGATTTTGTTCAGATTTAGCACAATGTGTTGTACATATGCAGGTGCATTTCGGTCATGATCTGCTTTGAATGTATATGTCACTCAAATATGAACGGAACGGGGACGTGTCATTGACAATGACTTGTTTTTTTCATTTTTCTATTGTTATTTCTGGTTAATTTATGTCTATTTTTTATTTTATTTTTTGTTTCAATTGCTGTTAAGTTATTTAACTTTTTAATCAGATTGTGGCATTTATGATTCCCATAAAATCTGCTGTGCCTTGGAAAAAATGTTCATATCTATCACTTGTCAATTGTAACCCTGTGTATACTAAGGTGGGATGAGTGTTTATTCAAAACAAATACACAGGTGAAAATATGGGTGTTATGGTTCTTGTATGATTTGAAACTCACTTCAGTCTGTATTACTAGTGTCAGCAATTGGACTAAAGTCTATAATATTTTGTGACTAACTTGAAGTGGTGATTTGTTGACCTATGCTTGATGTATTGATGTTGGTGAATAAATGTGCTACTTAACACTTCACAAATATCTGCAGAGATTGAAAGAAACTTTTATTCACTGATAATTTGTCAATTTATCCTTAATTACATTGCACATCTACAAAAACAATACTTGGATTGTCAGAGGTTATTGTCGTCATATCAGACACAGCTAGCTGACCAACAAGAGAAGAATGTCGCAAACACTAAGTGATATAGTAACATCGCCTCAAAAGGTCGGAAAACAGGTATTTTGCATTTCTATATATTTATATAAAAATTATGAATTATTATTCTTTCACAGTGCATATATATTTGTTATTTGATCACCATACCATATTTAGAAGAGCACATAAATTACATATTGTATGCTTGGTCATTGAAATATGTCTTCAACCAAAGACTTGCCTCTGTCATTTACATATAGTACAGTTCATGCGTATCTCTGTGCTGACTATCAATGACTTCAACTTGTTCTTTGTAATATTTGCCTAAGTTATTACGG